CCCTCAAAGCGCTTTACATACTACATGTCGTTCACCCATTCATACAGAGCAGTGTATGTTAGGACATGCACTAACATGCATACACATTCACACAGCGTTGGCCATGCCATCGGGAGCAACTCAGGGTTAAGTATCTTGCCCAAGGATACATCGACATGTTGACTGCATGGGCTGGGATCGAACCCACAACCTTCTGGTTGAAAGACGACCATACTCCCTCGCAGCCACAGTCGCCCATCGCAGTGTGTGTGTGTGTGTGTGTGTGTGTGTGTGTGTGTGTGTGTGTGTGTGTGTGTGTGTGTGTGTGTGTGTGTGTGTGTGTGTGTGTGTGTGTGTGTGTGTGTGTGGTGTGTGTGTGTGTGTGTGTGTGTGTGTGTGTGTGTGTGTGTGTGTGTGTGTGTGTGTGTGTGTGTGTGTGTGTGCAGAATGACAGAGACAGCAAGATGGCATGATTGCCTTCGAAAATCAAACAAATGACCATTAAGTAACATGATAGCTGAAAACATCAGTGTAACAATGGTTTCCTGAACCACACATTAATAAGCAGGCTCTGTATTTGATGAACTGTATATGTAAGGCAATTTGATTATTATTATTTATTTATTTTTTAATATTTTATTTATAATTTTCAGGTTTATGTAACAATTAAACATAACAAAAAACATGTAGCATAAAACGCAAAGCATCCCCCCAAATAACAAAAGACAAACAAAAGTCCCTGCGTAGATCAAAACACAGCGAGATACTACACATACACAGTGCTACTGTATATCCAGGCCTGTTGGTTAATCAGATGATATACCTATGGTGGCGTAAGTGATGCACCTATAAACTCTAAATAAGGCTGCCAGATCTTCAGAAAGGTGTTATATCCTTTTCTAAGACTATATGTGATATTTTCAAGAGGAATAGAACTGTTCCTTTCTAAAGACCATTTATCAATGAGGAGAGGAGAGTCAGATTTCCATGTTACTGTTGTGCATTTCCTAGCCACACATAAAGCAATTTCCATACATTTAATTTGGCATTTAGTTGAAGATCTATTGAGACTTGTGAACATTTGATTATTATTGAGGATATAGATTATGATATAGATTATGGTCTTCTGGTGGTGAATTAGATTGAAATAAAACGTGAGTTAGCTAACCATATGAATATATGTATTAGGGCCGGGACTTTAACGCGTTAATTAAGATTAATTAATTACACAAAAATTAACGCGTTAAAAAAATTAACGCATTTTAATCGCACTTATTTTTGCACCGCGGAACGTTTCTCACTGGATGAGTTTCAGGCGTACCGATTATACTGGAGCACCAACTAACGTTCATGACTTCAGACAACAACAAACCACAGTGAACAACAGTGGGAAATGTTGTTTTAAAAAACGGACGGATGGAAGCGTCGATAAGAGCACGGTTGTGTGCAAATTATGCAAAAAGGAATTCGCATATCACCGCAGCACATCAAGCCTCAAGTATCACCTCAATGCAAAAACATATAGCAGCTAGCGTGGAAGCTAGCGTGGACGTTAGCCTCTTTTATCGCGTTCACACCATACAGTCTATGGTTCACACCAAAAAGAGCCGGTACTAAAATTAGTTACTGAGAACCTTTTTACCCCCACGAAAGTCCCTGCTAGAGAGCAGAGAGTTGCTAGAGAGCAGGGACTTTCGTACGGCTCTCTTGTGAGAAAAGAGCTATATTTCTGATTGGCTGGGCGGATTGCAAACCACGCCCCGTAAAACTCCCAAAAAGTTTGGTGAAGCCGCCATTTTATTATCCTCGCATTAGCATTATTAGCATTAGCCCAGCGCAGAAACGCAGAGAGACTAACTTATGGCAACACAAAATAAAACATGGGAGCAGTAGAGATGAGGAGGTGTCGGCGTTCTGGCGATTTACTCGGAAGGCTTCAGTAGAAGCTGCTGGGACTCCCAGCAGCTTCTACTGAAGCCAGTCCCCAACTCCGGGGACTTCCGGCCGGGGACTTTGGGCGGCAGTATACGCCGTGAAGTGGTTTGCGGCCTGCCAGTAAACCCAAAGCAGAAGAAGAAGAAGTGACGTCAGCGGCTTCATTTGTTCTCATGAACTAAGTTCTCATGAATCTTTGTGGGAAAAGTACTGCGGTGTGAATGCGCCTAATGGTATACTAAAATCCATGTGAAAAAAATTGCTTCTCACTGTTCTCAGGTCAAATATTTATATGCGATTAAAAATGCGATTAATTTCGATTAATTAATTACAAAGCCTCTAATTAATTAGATTAATTTTTTTAATCGAGTCCCGGCCCTAAATTATTTATGTTAACTAACGTGCACTAACGTTAAATTTAACAAACACATGTGGTGCACACACATGTTGTCGTTTTTAAACTATTGTTTACATAGGCTTTAATGCCATTCATTTTTAAATAAGACCATTTATGCTAATTGTGCAAATTGCCCAACATATGCGGATTAGCATCAGGCAGTTTCTGTTGTGCTGGGAACCCTACTACTATACATTTCTAACATAAAACTGGTGTACTCAACATTTCCGGGTTCACTATGCTGGCAACTATAGTGAGGAACTGTTGACAAAATGTTGATACTAAACTTATAAGTAAAATGTTCAATGACAACATATATTTAAACAATCTATACTATATATTATCTGCTGATTTCAGCATTATTGCATATTTTTGGGCTCTCACAGCACTTGGTTAAGGCTAAAGGAACATCATGGTCTGTTTTAACACAGAAAAAGCCAGCAGTGTTTTCAGGCATGAGACATGAGGCACATAGGCGGCGCGTGAGGTTCAGGTTTGGGAAGGCTAAATCACTTTTTTTTTACCTGATGCTGCCCGCCTCTTGCGTCTATAGAAAATAGATCAACTCATTGAAAGCACCGCCTGCTGACCAATCAGAGCTCAGTGTGCGGAGTTTAAATCTATCGAGTCATATTACAGGATAGAGGAAATACAGTTTAAACTGCCGTATGCAGAGAAGACTCCTACGTGTCACACTTATCATTCATATCACATTCAATCAGATCATCGATCATATAATATCACAATATTTCCTTATCTGAGTCAGCTTCTCGAGCCGTATCTGGCCGTGAAACACTTACAGTGTCATTACGTTGACGAAACACTCGAGTCAAATGTAATTAAAGTCAGATCCACTAGTGTCGATGGGGCAGTGATATCATAAAACTGTTGTACGCTTTCAAACAATCTGTAGTTATTTTTTAACCAGTTGTTCTGTATTCTCCTTGCAGGTTATATAATATGTTGAAGTCATGGATGGTTAAAGTTCATATTTGTCTAATATTAGTTTACTTTTCATTAATGAAGTATGACGCTGCGCCGTCAGTACACTTGTCCCTGTTTGTGATTGGTCAAATGTAGCTAACCACGCCCCTTTCACGTGAACGCGCTCTCAGCTGGAGAGAGAAACTCTGGCTTGATTTACCGAGTTGATAACCAGCGTCGTAGGACCGCTTAGCGAGATCTCGTTTGTTAGGATTAAGATAACTCAAACATATCCAGGGTCTGTTGAACTGGCTTCGTAGTGCACAGGGCATGGCTGCATAGAAGCGCTAATGTCAAAGACACAAACATATACATTATATTTTTATTTTACCAGGATGCAGTGACAAAAATATTTGGGAAGGCTTAGCCTTCCCTAGCCTACAGTACCCGCCGCCCCTGATGAGGCACATTAAACTACATTTAACTAAGACAACAATCTTTCACTAACCTTACCGTTGGCTTTGTTGCCTCATCCTACCACAGAGAATTTCTTTCTCCAGGCTTCCTCCACCTAACCTGCTCCCTGAAACTCTGTTGTGGATCATAAAGTACATGTAGCAACTTAGCCGCTTTCACACCAAGTACTTTGCGGTACGTGGTTCCCGGAACTTAGTCCCCCGAACTCTTTAGTCCCTGGAACTGTCCTAGTAGATCGTGTTCACACCGGAATAAGTCCCTGAGGGAGGATTAGGCAAATTAAGCCGCTGACGTCACTTCTTCTTCTTCTGCTTTGGGTTTACTGGCAGGCCGCAAACAACTTCACGCCGTATACTGCCACCCGAAGTCCCGTAGTCCGCCGGAGTTGGGGACTGGCTTCAGTAGAAGCTGCTGGGTAGCGTCCTCCTAGTCACTCCACCGCTCCCGTGTTTTCTTTCGTGTTGCCATAAGTTAGTCTCTCTCCGTTGGTGCGATGGGCTAATGCTAATAATGCAAATGCGAGCAAATAAAATGGCGGCTTCACAAGACCTTTCGGAGTTTTACGGGCCGTGGTTTGCAATTCACCCAGCCAATCAGAAATTGTTAGTGTGGCCGACACACCCACAAACCACTTCCTCCCCAGGAAAGTACCTACTCTCTAGCAGGGACTATCTGGGGGTGAAAAGGTTTGCGCAAACTAGGTTCTAGTTCCAGATCTTTTTGGTGTGAAACCAAAATCGCAAGAACTATCGGCCTAGTTCCTGGGAAAAGTACTCCGGTGTGAAAGCGCCTCTTGATTCAATTATAAACCTGGGAAAACATTATAAAACTATAGGAAGACTGAAGTAATGCCAGGCACATCTGGGTTTTCCACGAGATATTGTTGCAGGATCCTTAAATCCTTTAGTTTCTGCACAGTAATGAAAGGTCCAAGCAACATTATCCTCAAATACCCTTCCTTAACCCCTTTCCCGCTTTCCATAACTCGTACTCCCTTAACATATAATTGAAATATGTTCACCTACATCTGTTTTTCTGAGTTATGGGGGCTCCCACAGTCATGTGTGGCTGATCATGGGGCCAGGGAAGATGTGGCTGAGACACTTTAACCCACCTTGTTGTTAGAGAGCCAGAGATAACCCTCCCCCTCTGTCCCTGCAGGGGCCCTGTCCTACGCTGAACTGGGGACCTGTATAAAGAAGTCTGGTGGACACTACACATACATACTGGAAGCCTTTGGACCTCAGATGGCCTTCATAAGGCTATGGGCCGAGCTCATTGCTATCAGGTAATGTATGCCTCCTTAATCCTCACTGAACCTAGCCATAAAACTGCATTCATCAATAATTCACATCAACATTAGGTCTGCCATGTAGACCTAATGTGTCATGACCATGTGTCATGTAAAAGGGACTTATTGTAATAATATCTCCACTCAAAATGATTACCTAATACTGCAGCAGTTGTATGGAGCTTCTTAGCATTACTCAGTTCATTGTTTCAGTTTTAGGGCCCACATCTTCACTCTTTGGGTTCACTCTCTGCCCTCTCAACATGCTGGTTTCCAGCAGCAGATAACACACTGTGCTCCACCTGCTCTGAAGCACTAAAGAGCCCCTTTAGTTCAGCTTTATCATTCCTTTAAGGGTCATTGTAACTGTTGATAATACCTATCATGATAATCATACCAACAGTATAATACAGTGAAACCAGGTTATTTTCTGAGATGCTTATCATGAAATCCACTCCAGCCAAATGGGAATATGTTCACCCATAATCCATCATGTGAGGCCTTGAGAATGACTTACTTGGAGCTATTGGCAGCTATATGTTTGTTCAAACTGTTGGAGTGCTGAGGACGGTGGTCTGAAGCCCACCCCAGCTCCACGCGTCCCTTGATGAGCTGGTTAAATTATAAAAGAAGGAATTCGAAACACCAGGATAAAGGATAAACAATAATCTGTATTAATGGTAAAAAACAACAATACAATTTAAAGGAGTACCCCTGCTCTGGTCCTAGTGCTGGTAGATCTTACTATCTTGGCAGCACTAGTTTAAACACTGCTTAGAGGTAACAGAAATCCTGAGATCCCTTAATAGTTCCGAGCTGTGAGGTGAGAACATTCTCTGTGCATGTACACAGCCAAGGTGAGTAGTGAAAACAGTCTAGTGAACTGCCCAATTTTATGCTGACCTCGGGCTAATGGGACTCAATGAAAGCATGGGAAATGAACAGAGGTGGGAACCGCAAATGAAAACAAGAGCGAGGGAGACGCACAGATTTCCCCGGCTTCAGCAGCTCAGTGCTGCTGTGGGAAATGAAGAGGGAAACACTGATGAGCTATAATATGAGCCTGAGGCACAGCCAACGTTATTTCCTTCTTATTGAGCCAAGCCTTTAGCTGGCCATCGCACGCACGCACGCACGCACGCACACACACACCGCATAATCATATGTGCTGAATGAGTACATTTTGAAGGCTGCCACTTCAGAGTGTGTTATGGTAGGCTCTGGTCTCCAGTCATTGTGGAAACTGGGCTTAACACATATTTCCAGAACATTTACAAATACTCAGTTTTAAGAAGATAGTGGAAATATATTTGCACTATGTTATTATTTGTTTGTAGTTGTTATGTATTGATGTATCTGCCTTCTGAAAATAATGTGATTGGAAAACCAAAGTGTAATTTATTTTTTGACCTTATACAATAGTAATGACAACAATAAAACCTGGAACCAGTCCACTCAATAGCTAGTTTCCTTCACCTGTGAAATGCTGTCACAGGCTTTATACGTGGAGATATTCCTTTATTGCTCTTCATGGAGATAGCTGAACTGTCAACATTTAGTTTGCTATAATCTAAATAAGAACATTACATATGTATGCTGAGTACAAGAACAATTGTTATCAATGTTGGGCCCTAAGGGGCAATAGAACTACAACTACACCCGCTCAGAAAGACATTGTAATCTATTTACAATGTTGCTGATACAAATACGAGACAGTGAACCTATAGTGGCCGTATAGTTAGAATAATAGGAGCAGAGGAGGACGTCCAGTGACTTGGTGGTAACGCATAACGTAGGTGGGAGGACAGGATGGCTCAAACAAACATAACCCGGAATACCACAGTTTAATGTTTCGACTATGTAAGCAAGTTAGGTAACATACGATACGAAATAATACCATATACTTGATTGTACCCGTAAATAAATGTTGGACTCATTCTGCAGTTCCACAAAAGATAGAACAATTTTAAATACTACATAGTGCATGATAAAAGCCAATAGCATATTCTCACATGACTTATGTACATGTACACAGTTTGCATTTACACGTATACACAGACAACCTACTGAGAATGGCGACCTAATGCACAACCCTCATGGCCAACATTTAAACTGCACACTACATTTGTTCTTGAGAAGCTGAATGGACCCTGGCAGTGTGTGTTAGCCTGCTTTGAGGAACCTGAGTCTCCTACCAGAAGGTCAGAGCCAGAGCTCTGGGTGGAGGATGTTGGGGGGGATCAGATGTAATTTGTTGTGCCTCTCTAATGAGTGACTGCTCATACATGTTTAGGGGGGGATGGGTGTTTTTTAACCCCCATCATTTTTCTTGGCAGTCTGCCTGAGGCGAGCGATCTTGATTCAGCTGCAGAGTGAGGTTATCATGCAGACTGTGAGCTGATGATGCTCTCCATCACTGCGTGGTAAAGAAAAGCATGAACTCCTGCTCTACTCTGTAGGCCCCTTAGTGCACTATCAACATGGACCCTCCAGCTTAGTGCACTATCAATGTGAACTCTCAGGTATTTTTGGCTGCTGACCTGAGATATGGGTGCATTGTGGATAACTATCGGCCTTTGTTCACCCACTGCCTTTGGGTCCCACACCATCAGTCTTCTCTACATTTAGATGGTTAACGTCACAAGATTGCACAAATCTCTGTATTACAGAGTAGTAGGCTGATGGGCATACTATAATAATAATAATAATAATAAATGGAATTTATAAAGCGCCTTTCACGGGACCCAAGGTCGCTGTACATGGTGGACAGACAAAACAAAACAGACAATGAGGAGCGAACAAAACAAAAAATAAATAAAATAAAATAAAGGAAGCCGGGGGACCAGGAAAGGACTAGGATCTGAAGGCCATGGTGAACAGGTGTGTTTTCAGTGAGGATTTGAAGATGTCCAGTGAGGCAGCGTTCCGGATCTCGGCAGGAAGTGCATTCCAGAGGGTGGGGGCCGCAACACTGAACGCCCTGTCACCCACAGTACGAAGGCGAGAGCGGGGGATGGAGAGCAGGCCCGTGTCTGAGGACCGCAGACTCTGAGGGGGTATAGGGATGTAGTTATATATATATATATATACACACACACGTAATTTACATTATGTCACGTTATGGGACAACAAGGGCATACTTATTTTATCCCAAACACTGACCTTTCTTCTAATCGTAAGAATATAGTTTTGGCGCCAACACTGTAACTGAAAGTGACACAAAACTGTAACTGTTGCATAAAATTGCATATATCTCTTTAAGCTTACTGGTGGTTAAACGAGCCTTCTTTCCACCTTTCTTAAGCTCCTTTTGTTCTTTGGTTTTAGCGCCTGGCCGACGCGCTCACACATCACTCAGAGTCACCTTTCTTTTGGTATATTTATTTCCAAGTTATCCTTCTCTGCAGTGCAATGCAGCGGTCAAAAAACCGTGTGGCTTCACAACCAAACTAGAACACAGAGTATCATCAGCAGGACTCTTTTAACCAGCTGAGGCAATCACAGCACCAATCAGCCGCTCCGCCCAGCCGTGGCTGCGGATCATGATCACTTGACACCAATCAATTATACTCCATTACATACATTAAATGATTAAATAATACAAATAATAAATCAACGTTTTGGCTCCTACACTCCGGCCCCTAATTGTTATGGAATCACACATGACAATTACTAATAAACATAAAATGGAGAGCCAATACAAAACATTTGTTCAGGGCTTCTGACCCTTTGTAGGGCGAATGTGTATTAACACATGAGTCCGTGTGTGTAAATGTGCTTGTGTGGTGCAAGAGGGGAAGGGGGCTAGAGGTCATTTTGGGACTCGACCAGTAGTAACAGCTTTGTGATGGGTCGACAGAGTGTGCTGGTTTTTGTCTGTACTTCCACTTGTCGTACAAAACCTCTCGAGTCTGGCAAGACTTGCGTTATTCGTCCCATGAGCCAGGAATTTCTTGGAGCATTTTCGTCGACGATAAGGACAATGTCCCCGGTTGCGAAATTCCTCCTTTTCCTGTTCCACTTTTGCCTTATTTGGAGTTCCGGTAGGTATTCCTTGGTCAATCGCTTCCAAAATAAGTTGGCCATGTACTGAATTTGGCGCCATCTTCTCTTCCCGTGGCAGTCGCTCGGATTGAAGACACCAGGCGGAAGAAATGGTTTTGATTTGAGCAGCAAAAGGTGATTTGGAGTGAGGGGCTCTAAATCTCCAGGGTCGTTGGAAACAGTCGTTATGGGTCGATCATTTATGATCGCCTCCACTTCGCAGAAAAGTGTGGCAAGTCCTTCCTCGTCAAGCTTCTGTTCTTGCGTGAGGGCACTGAGAATGCGTCTGACGGTTCTGATTTGTCTTTCCCAGATTCCTCCGTGGTGGGAGCCTGCTGGTGGGTTAAATATCCAGTTTACTTCCTCTTTAAGAAGCTTGTTCTGGATTTGTGTGTGGTTTAACTCTTGTATTGCTTCTTTTAGTTCACGTTCAGCTCTAACCAAATTGGTTCCGTTGTCTGACCTCATGACCTTGACAGGGCCTCTTCTTGCAATAAATCTCCTGATGGCATTAATGCAAGAGTCAGTGTTGAGACTGTGTGCAAGTTCAAGGTGAACTGCTCTGATGTTTAGACGGGTACAAATTACACCGTATCTTTTAACTGTGGCTCTTCTCTGTTTCAACTCAAATGGGCCAAAGAAATCCACGCCCACGTTTGTGAAGGGCGGATCATCAGGGGTAACTCTTTCTTCCGGCAAGTCTGCCATGAATTGCTGACTTTTTACACCACTGAGTTTCCTGCAGGTTACACATTTAGAGAGGATTTTTCGGATTGCAGAATTTCCTCCAGGAATCCAATATTTCTGCCTTAAACCTGACAGAGTATGACTCCTTCCACTGTGCCCTATGTTCTCATGGACATGTCTGATGAGGAGTTGAGTCACATGATTGTTTGCAGGTAAGATAATTGGGCTTTTGGCTTCGGCTGGCATTGCGGATTTCGATAACCTTC